TATGTCTTTAAAATAATCTAACTAATAAATTAATTATTTTATAATTAATTATATAGTTAAAATATTATTAAATTCACATGACAGCACGTAATTGGCTGATAATTTTTTTTCTTCTACAACCCGACTAAACAAAATATCCAAATGGCTTGACAATTGTTAATTAAAGAATGTCTTGGAAACTTTGACTTGAAAAGACCTTGCACACTAAAACGCAGTAAAACAACAATCATATAACGAAGATAAACCATGTTCCTATGAGACTAAGGGCTGCTTAAATTACCACCTTATACTAGAAAAATCTCTTTCACTCATGATTTTCGATTTTTTTCCTTTTGGTTTTTTGTTCTTTACTACAAATTTATGTACTACAGACACAAGGACAGGAACCTGAAGCTCATGGATGAGATGAGTTGAAACTCATTGAAATTCAATTGGATTTAGATTAATCCGGCTGCTTGCACGAGACCTGAAGGCCAGCTGCAAGGTCCATTTGTGGAATTAAAAGCCCATTGGGCATTGGCTCCATTCTCCTACTTGGTGTATAAAGAATAAAGACATATCAGCACCTGTTGGATCTTAGTCAATGATTCTGTCTTTGAATAAATTAGACATATCAAAAACCATTAATCAGAAAAAAATAATAATAAATGATTGAGAATCCTTCATTCCAAAGCAATGATCTACTTTGCAACTCGTAACACAGCTTGAAATTTTGCCCCGTGTTATATGAATTTGCTATGAGTAACCTAATTCAAAACAAAATTTGGAGCTTGGAAGGAAGAGAAGAGGGCATTGGGTTGATGGATCTTCCTCCTGGCTGCCAAAAAAGGCCGTCCCAGTCAGTTTTCCCTGATTAAGCGGGAGTGTCCACATTAGTTTAAAGCCAAGTTCTTGATTACAGGTGAAAAAAGTAAGACAATACCTTACTTTACTTCCTTCTTCCATATGAGATGTCTCTGTCTGTCTGTCGGTCCTCTCTTCTTTCTTTTGATAATTATTTAATTAAAAACCAAAACAGTATTCTTTCCTCCTTCCTTTATTTTTTTTTTGTTCCTGCTGTATTGTCTTTGCCCTTTTTGGAGACTCCTATCTGCGGTGCAGGGCAGTGGTTGACACCAGTGCACGTGTATGGGATAATACTTACAAGCATCACAAGTGCCTCGTGATCCTGTGAAAAAGTAAAAATCCTGTAACGACAGTAAATTTTTTTGACACCGATGGCGCGTGCATGGACATTCATCCATCCATAATCATGTCTTTCCCCCAATTCCTTGGGTAAAAGTAGTGTAGATGTAAAACAAAAACAAAGAATCTGGAAAATTGGAGTTTCGCTGCTTATTTCGTAAAATCAGGACCAATCTTTCAGGCTTCGTTCAAAAAATGGAGGTAGGGTAATAGTACACATTAGGCAAGGCTACTCGAATTTCAACCAAACTATATTTTCTACGCCAACTTGTTTAATTGAAAGAACGTGAGAGAAGAGAGACCTGCAAGTGGTCAAAAAGTGAATCACAGAGGCAATGGTTTGTCATCATAAAGTTTCTCCTTTCATCTTCATCCTCTTATACTATATATTTCTTTTTGGGTTTTCACTTTTTCATCTATTCTACAAAAGCCCTCTCTCCCCATATTTGATCGTATGGTAATGCATATCCTTTACCGTCCTTTCCTCTTTTCTCGAAGAAACTTGCCAGCCATCGTAAAAAGCATTGATTTGCTGTCTGTACCAAGCGCCCATAGTTTTTTTTCCTTTTTGTTTATTTTCACACTTGGTATCTAAACTCTAATTTTGATACCAATCGCTTCAAAGTCACAATTAAGCATTTCAATTTTATTTTAGTATATTCGTATTGCAATTTTATTGAATGTTTCATGCACATTACTCGTTTGATTAACATATAAATTTTGTGCACAAGTTATGGATAAAAACAAAATTCAAGTATTTATTTATAAATTTTTAAATTTCAAGTATCGAATCGAGAATTTAATTATAATGTAAATATTAAAAATATAATTATTTTTTTTATTTTCCCTCCTTCCAATGAATGAGTTAAAAGTAAAATAAAAAAGGTAAAACTTAGAAGAGGACTGGATTCAAGTCAAAAACAATCTAAAAAATGATAAAAAAAATTAAATAAAGATTGCAAAATTACATAGGATTTTATGGTTACTTGGTAAAAAAGAGAGTGTAACAATTTGAACCTAAAATCGTTATTCAAAACCTACTACACCTTTTTCATTCGAGCCTTGAGTGGCAAATAATTTCATGAAGATAAAGTAGGAATAGGTGCCAAAAAAGTCAAGAAAATTGTGGATGAGCAACACCTATACCTATAAATGAAAATTATCCCTAAAAAGGTGTGATAATGAAGATTAACAGACCAAGGTTCTCAAACATGATAAATTGGTCTTATTGTAGATCATGTGTACCAAAATGGTTCAACAGGGAAAAAGAGTATATTATTTCAATTCAAGTGTCAATCTTTGACACAAAATGTTTGAGTATCGAAAGTGAAGAATTAAAATACTTGTAAACAAAATTTATGTAGGATTCTTAAGTTAAGTTTATAAAATCATTGATTTTGAAGATGTTGCTTCTAGGGTTCGCCTGAGTTGACACAATTTGTCGATAAGAAGTCTTAGAAAGATGTTGGACGTATTGATTAAATTTAAATAAATGTCAAAGGATGGGATGGTCTTAGGAAGTCTAAGCTAGCCTACCAGTATCATCGCTGGCTTGCTAATGGGGTCATAATAAGTATAGCCATCCAAGTACTGAAATTGATCTAACGGAAAAGGAGAATAAATGGAAACTTAGGAAATCATAAAATTAACAAAATGGTTAATCCAGAATAAATTAACAAGTACAGACGTGGTTTTCCTATTTTCTTCTCAGAAAGAGCAGAGGGATCGATCCATCGCTGGGAATCCCCTCAACAAATATCATGCTTGCTGGGCCACTTTGTTTATGGGGCGCTGTTGACTACCTGACTCTGCCTCGCCCGTCCATTACAAATTAATTTTTCAGGCCCCACTCACAAAGGATTTTTTCCCCTACCATCCATCCTTCTGTTTTGTTTTTTTATTTTTTTTTTACGTTTATTTCATATTGTATAGAGTTTGTTTTATTTGAGAGCAAGTTTCCTGTGGAATTTACATATAGGTTTTTTCTTTTTTCCTTTTTTTTTTTTTTTCTAAATGAAGGTAGGTATGTGCGCTAAAATTTTATTTTGATTAATCATTTTGGTACGAGACTGGCGAAGGAAAATGGAGGGAAGTTTTAGGTTGGGTCCCGCTACCTCAAGTGCTGAGTTTGAGTGACAGAAGCATCTCTCAGTTTCTATGCTCAACAACCACTCGCTCATGGCGCGTGAGTTACCAATCGTCTCTCATTAAAAGTAGAATTTCATTGCACGCTCCTTTAAGGTGCACTCACCTTCTTTTTTCTTTTATTTTTAACTCCTGTCAGAGAGACACCGTCCTAACGCCGTTTTCAGGAGGAACCCAAACGGCACCGTTGTGAAAGGCCCGAAGCTACTAAAACGACGTAGGTTGTATCGACACTGTTAAAATCTGGCTTCACGAAGCGAAACCGAAAAGGGAAACGGAAAGGGAGGCTAATGCCTCTGTGTTTTCGCTTTTATCCAGGACTGTTGTCTGTGTCACTCCTCACTCATGGTTTGAACATTTTTTCAGGGTTAATGAAATGGTTTAACGGAATTTATATTTCTTTTTCTTCTCACTCAATTCCCAAGGCTTCGCTTAAAAACAACCACCCTTCCTCTAATCAAAATCTCATGTTTTCTTGCCCCCTCCCTCTCCCTTCCTTCACTTTTTCTGCTTCTCTTTTTAGGGTTTTTTCTTCTTTCGGTCATTTCTTCCTCCTGTTTTGAAACTATAAAGCAAATAGTAAAAGGAAAGTGAAAAAAAAAAACTCTAAACAAGCTTTCTGTTATCTTCAATGCCGTGAAATTCACACAAATCGAGTTTAAAGAGTTGAATTTCTTACTTTGAAAGCCGAATATTTTTGTTAATTAAGTTTTTAAGTGATTGTGTTTTTTTTTTCTTTTTTTGGTTTTGGGGTTAAATCGTGGTGAAATGGGAGATCTCGGGGTTAGTTTGAGAGTAGGTTAATTATATTCTAGGATCAAGCATTGGTGTAATGGTAATTAAGATTTATCATAAAGAGAAGAAAGAATCGTGGCCTCCACAATGCATTTCGCTAAGCTTGATGACTCGCCCATGTTTCGCAAGCAGGTGACTCTCTCGCCTCCCTGTACTTCGTTGCTTGTGTTCGAGCTGGAAGGAAGATGGAGGCATTGTAGATTTATACTACTTGTTTGTTTCTCAAAATTCTGTACATATTTAGCTGAATCATCTCAGGTTATATATTTTGATTGCCGTTTTAGTAACTTCAGTGCTCTGTTTGTGTTTGGTTGTTGGAGATAAGTAAAGAAAAGAAAAAGCGAATCCGGAACTTTTTCTGTACCCTTAATTTTTGTTCTTCCGAATTCTCAGCCAAGTAAAGGAGCATAAACAGCAGCAGTTGGCTGCTTTAGAAAATTTAGCTACACCGGCTGCAATTTTTGTCTACTTAAAGTTTATAGATTTAGGAAGGTTTATCTGAATAGAGTTTTGAGTATATGTCAGGTTTACTAGTTTATTTCATGATCAGTATGGATAATTGATGAGGTTTTAATGGACTGATTATAAGATATAGGCTGATCCTTGATTTCTCCATGGTTTGCTATGAGTTATATTACTTGAGACCTTAGGGCTTTGGTTCTCAGATGACCTGTTGTGATTTTGGTTTTGAGTTAATTAAGTTCTATTTATAAATAGGAAGAAATAAGAATGAAATTAGATCTGAAGAATGGAAAAATTACTAAAGAATCTTGTCGTTTCTCGTCAACTTTTCATCCCATGAATATCTTTGTCAAGTGCCAATCTTACATCCACATTTAACTTAGTAAATGCTGATTGTAGTAGGATGGAGCCTAATTTTGCTACCCTTACGATTATGCATGGTGAAATTGAAGATATATTGTAACTAGAGCTTCCTCATGGCTTTTAAATTATTCTTATGCCTATTTGAAGCTCATAGTTTGGCTCGCTTCTCAAATTTTAAGACATGCATGTTGTTTCATTGCTGCCAATTGACTAATGGTTGTGGTTTTCCCCTTTTGTAATTTTTAAGTTTCAAAGTGAAGTATACCTTATCTTGTCAAGTTAATTTTATGTTCTACACTTAGATACCTACTTATGGTCTGATGGACACTAAAGTAAATGCTTTACAAGCCAATATATCACCTTTGTTACTTATGGAACTTGGATTGATAATTAATTTGTTTTATTTGGTGAGACAGATACAGTGCATTGAGGAAAGTGCAGAGTTATTACGCGAGAGAAGCTTAAAGTTTTACAAAGGATGTCGAAAATACACGTATGTCTAGATGGTCAGATGAATCTAATTGTTTTTATTAATCACTATCTCCCTTTGCTTTATGAAGATATCAATGAGAATGCGACATGGCCAAGCTTGAATTTCTAAATTAAATAAAGACATAGTCCCATATGTCTTTCATTTCAAGGGCAAAGTACCGGTTCCTTTCTGTTTGTTTATTTATGCCTTTTGAACAAAAATGGTGTGAGCTTGTGGAAGTCTTGTATCTTTTTCATCATTCTTCCTTACATGTGTGGCAAGCATGTGGACTGCAAACTTGAATGTAACCTTGCATTATAACCAAAAAACTTTGATGTCCGTGTATGAATTATTTTATTTTTCTTTGGTTTCTTCATCTTGGGTGGGTGGTGCTACTCCACACTATTGGTGACCTAATCAATCTTTGCTGTTTCTTGAGCTCTGAGTTTGACATATTTCATTTGCATATTTTTTTTTCTGCTTGCAGTGAAGGACTTGGGGAGGGATATGATGGGGACATCGCATTTGCAAGTGCCCTTGAAATGTTTGGTGGAGGGCATAATGACCCTATTAGTGTGGCTTTTGGTGGTATGTATTCAATATTTTAGCCAAAGTTCTTTATTATAATTGCTGGAATGTTGGTTGATGGATATGCACCTTGAAGTGATTGGGCAGTCTTTAAGTGGTAGTAGCTTCTTTTTTGGTGCTTTGATGTAGCTATTGCAATAGATGATGGATTATTTCCCTAGGATGTCTAAAAGCCTTCTCATTTCTTATTTTGTTCTTCAGTTCTGACATCACATGGAGATTAGATTCCAGCCTGATCTGGATTTTTACAGCACCATAACAGTAATTGAACCTTTTTTTTGTCGTTCTTTAGGGCCTGTTATGACCAAGTTTACCATAGCATTGAGAGAAATTGGCACATACAAGGAAGTTCTTCGATCCCAGGTAAACTTTTGAGTATCTTCTGAGCATGATATTAAATTTATTTCTGAGGTGTGAGGTCCTGAGATAACTGATTTTTTGATAAATTCAATTCTTTGGCACTCTTCGACTCGTGCTGCAAGAATACTTACTCAAAGACTGATAATCTTATAGAAATTTCAGCACTAATTATTTTTTTGTTGGTTATTTTTCTTGATGGCTGTTTGCTGTTGCAATCTGGAAAATTTTTGAAAACTGTTACCTCATATGAATTTTAAACCTTTTGTTTTTGAACATCATGAGAATGCAATTGTTACAACTATATTGAACTTCAACAGTGTGTATGGTTTATTCTCCAATCATATTGACTTACAATAATATTAAAATTTTTCGACTGTTTTTTTTTTCCAGGTTGAAACTGAGCTAAATGACAGATTACTGCAGTTTGTCAATAGTGATTTACTTGAGGTCAAGGTAACCACCATTTCTTCTTGCATATGAGATTTTAGCAGCCCCATAAATTTGGGAGGATTAGGAGGCTGGCATTATCATTTAAGCAGTCTATGAACTCTTGCTATGTAAGCGGTCTTATTAAGAGAAATATAGGTTGTTTAATTTTTTGCCTGATTTAGGTCATCCAAGGTTTGAAAATCTGTGCATTATTCTAGATCATCTATTTGTTTAATTGTCTGGTTCTAAAAGATCTTATCTTAGTGCAGGAAGCACGGAAGCGCTTTGACAAGGCTAGTCTCATTTATGACCAGGTGCTTTAGAAGCTAAATTTACTTTCTTATTGCAGTTTGTTGGGTTGATCTAATTAATGTTGCTTGAATGTGATGTTATATGTGTTGAGTGGATCTAAAATTGAATTCAGAGTTATATTTCCTCAGTCTGAATAACTTGCAGGCCCGTGAGAAGTTTCTTTCACTGAGGAAAAGTACGAAGAGTGATATAGCCAATGTTTTGGAAGAGGTATCTTGCGAAATGGCTTGATGTATTTCTAGTTTCATGTATCTGACTTTCTTACCTATGTAGCTGTCGTATTGATGAAAATTCCCCACATATTCTGACATGGTTGGAGTTATTCTAGGAACTTCATAATGCGAGGTCAACATTTGAGCAAGCTCGTTTTAATCTAGTGAGTTAATTGCTCGCATAATTTTGTGATAATTTCAGATTTGGTTCCAGATATGTAATTATAGTACCTGTGGTTTATAATGTATAGGTAACTGCTCTTTCAACTGTTGAAGCAAAAAAGAGGTTTGAGTTTCTGGAAGCAGTCAGCGGGACTATGGATGCACATCTTCGTTACTTCAAACAGGTGATCACATGGCAGAACTTCTCGATTTCTTTCTTATGTTTTTTTTACATGCATAATGCATCGCTTATTGCAATTTTTGGTCACTTGTAGGGTTATGAATTATTGCATCAAATGGAGCCATATATTAATCAGGTTTGTTATTATAAGTTTCATCTAGACTGAGACAAACATCTTTACATTATTTCTTGCTTAACTGTCTTTTCTTCATCTGACTGTTTTCATCAGAAGAAAAGGAAAAATAATATCTCTATACTGGCCACGGTATCAGTTATTTGAGAGACTAGTCATAGCACGCCATAAGTTGCCTGGGTTATATTTGGTTTGGCTTCTGAAAGCAGGCAAAAGCAAAAAAGAAAAGTTGTATCTTGTCATTATTGATGATTCCTTGCATTTCTAATTTCATTATGCCGTATATTGTGCGCAAACTGTTGAAATGCAAGTCCTGTAGGTTTTGACCTATGCACGACAATCAAGGGAAAGGTCCAACTATGAGCAGGCCGCTTTAAATGAAAGAATGCAGGAGTATAAAAGGCAGGTTGACAGAGAGAGTAGATGGTCTTCTAATGGTTCTAATGGATCTCCTAATGGAGATGGTATACAAGCAATCGGTAGAAGTTCACATAAAATGATAGAGGCAGTTATGCAATCTGCTGCAAAGGGAAAGGTTTAAAGAAGATTTTAAGTTATCCCTGAGCTCTGTTTTTGAGAATTTTTTGACCTCATGATGCTTTTGCATCTTTGTAACCTCTGCATCTAAAACCAAAAAAAAAATTCTTCCAGGTTCAAACCATTCGACAAGGCTATCTCTCAAAACGTTCATCAAACTTGAGAGGAGATTGGAAAAGAAGATTTTTTGTCCTTGATAGCCGAGGGATGCTGTATTACTACCGCAAGCAGTGTAGCAAATCATCTGTAAGATTCTTCATTCTCCCCTTTTGGAAACACCTAGAGAAGCAGGGTGCTTGAAGCTCATTTTGTGATCAATGATCTATTCTACCTTTATCATTTTTCTTGGTGTATTAATAGGGGTCTGGCAGTCAGCTTTCTGGTCAGAGAAATAGCTCTGAACTTGGATCTGGATTACTGGGTCGGTGGCTTTCTTCTCATCATCATGGTGGTGTACATGATGAAAAATCTGTTGCCCATCACACGGTGAACCTGCTTACATCAACCATTAAGGTTGATGCTGACCAGTCAGATTTGAGGTTTTGCTTCAGGATAATTTCTCCAACAAAGAATTACACTTTGCAGGTATGACTTAGGTGTAGGCTGTGTTTCTGATTAGGGGTTAAGTTATATCTGTTTATGTTATATCTGGGATCAACCTATTGATGGATAATTGTGCAAAAATGTTGATCTTTTGTAGGACTGAAGGTTGTTATTTGGCAATTGATCCTCAATAATGTTTGTTTGTGCTTGTCAGTGCAGGCAGAGAGTGCACTAGATCAAATGGATTGGATTGAAAAGATAACTGGGGTTATTGCTTCATTACTTAGTTCTCAGGCTCCTGAGAGGGTAATTAAAAGATGAAGCACAAGTTTTGCTTGTTCATATCCTTATTGATATATTGACAGTTATTCTCCTATTATGTTGCAGTGTCTTCCTGCTAGTCCCATGGGAAGTGGTCATCATCGATCCGCCAGTGAGAGTAGTTCATTTGAAAGTTCTGATTTTGATCATACTGCTGTTGAAGAGTATACCTCTGAGAGAAACCTTGCTAGTGCACATAATGAACGCCAGTCAAGAGGTTCCCAACATCAAAGGTCCTGCCTGAAAAATGAAAAGCCAATTGATGTATTGCGAAGAGTATGTGGGAATGATAAGTGTGCAGATTGTGGTGCCCCTGAACCAGATTGGGCATCTTTGAATCTTGGTGTTCTTGTTTGTATTGAATGTTCTGGTGTTCACCGTAATCTTGGTGTTCACATATCAAAGGTAAATTGAATGAGTTATATGGCCTTTTTATGCATCACCTTGTGAGAACCTTGCATCTTTCAAAATAAAATATCTCATAGATCGTCATGAATTTTCTTATTTTTAAAAGTTAAATGGTAATTAGTGATGAACATAGAATCAAATAGGATGAAAGGTTTTATCAACTATTGATTGGATTATAGGAATTGAGAATAAAGGGAATTGTTAATCTTTTGCTTGTTGGCGTTTGTGTTAGTTGTTTCTGTGGACTATATTGGTGTTTTTTTTTTTTTTTTCTGAAATGAATCCTTTTAGCTGGGTAAAACTTTCACTTGGTGATGATTGTAATGTTGCTTCCTTATTTATCTTGGCTCTTGAAATTTGTTGGTTTCTTATTTCAGGTTAGGTCGCTTACTCTTGATGTTAAAGTATGGGAGCCTTCTGTTATAAGTTTGTTTCAGTCTTTGGGCAATACCTTTGCTAACTCAGTTTGGGAGGAACTATTGCATTCAAGAAGTGCCTTCCATGTTGACCTTACCCTCACAGGGTAAAGAATGCCCCCTTTTTTTTTTATGATTAAAGTAAAATACATGTGTAGCAATATAAAACCAAACTTGATTCTCTTGCGTGTTGAACTAATGCTTATTATTCTGCTGATGAAGCTTTTACAAGTCTGATAAACCGCAGCTGCTTCTTACGGGCAAACCTTGTCATTCTGATTCTATATCTGTAAAGGAGAAGTTCATTCATGCAAAGGTTTAACATCTTGCCTTGTACTCTAGTGTCTATATTTTTAGTATTTGAGATAGTTGTATATGGGTTAATATAGAAGATGATTTTGTCTATTACCTTTGCATTGAAATATCTTTAATTATAACTGATGAGTTGAACATATGCATTATATCAGATATATATTAGATTTTCGGGTTTGTAGGACAGAGATTAGTTCTAGAACTTAAGCAAAGCAAACAGTAATTATTTGTGACTGCTTCAACTTAAATTTCACGAGTGTGCTGTTCTGGTAGATTGTGTTTGGTTTAGCTGTCAACAACTTAAAGATTTGCTCTCTCCTGGGATCGCCACTTGTACCATCTTCTTGTTTGCTTATTTCTTTTGTCTTAAAGATGGGCATAAGGTGATATTCTGGATAGAGTGTAATTGTAAATCATCTTCTGTGCATCAACTCCAACCAAATATGTCATCGGTGCAGTGCTGTTAATGTGATGATTTAGGAAAACCTGAAATGCTCTGAGGCTTAAAATTATAATATATTTTTCAACAATTTATAATTATTTGTCCTGTGTATAAAATGTTGAAGGAATGATCTGTTCTCTATTGATATCAGTATGCAGAAAAGCTTTTTGTTCGCAAGTCAAAAGACAAGCAGCATCCTCATACAGTGGCACAACAGATTTGGGAGGGTGTTCGTGCAAATGACAAGAAGGCTGTATACCGTTACATCGTTAATTGTGAAGCAGATGTGAATGCTGTGTATGAACAATCTCCTGGGTCTTCATTAACCCTTGCGAAAGTGATGCTACTGCAAGAGCATGCAAATGTCAGCAACTCCGGTTATGTAGCAGGGGATTCTTTGGACAGATCCTCTTCTAGCTCTTTCAACTTCGTGGGTACCAGTGAGGGTCAGTCCATGGATGACTTAGATGGTTGCACGCTCCTTCACCTTGCATGTGAAACTGCAGACATTGGGATGCTTGAACTTCTATTACAATATGGAGCAAATATAAATGCAATGGATTTAAGAGGTCAAATGCCACTCCATCGATGTATTCTCAAAGGCAAAGCTTCACTTGCTAAATTACTCATTACCAGGTCATTTTGGGATCCTCACTTCTTAATGGTTGCTTTTGCATATTTCTTAATAGCAGTTTACATGCATAAGAGATGTTGTTTTAATATGGTTCTTTTGTGCGTACTGTGTATTTTAAATTCCTTTGATATAGATCACCAGATTAACATAACTGTTCTCTCTGTCTC